CCCCAAAACCCCAAAACCCCAAAACCCCAAAACCCCAAAACCCCAATATTAAACTAGCTTATTGAAATATGGTGAGGAATAATAGCTTCTAGAACTCCTTTGCAAGCATATCGTTGATCTCATCTGCGATCTTATCAGCATCTTCTAGAGTAGGAGCCTCAGCATAGATTCTCACGACATCTTCAGTACCTGAGGGTCTCACAAAAGCTCTCGATCCTTCTACTTTTGAGAATATCTCCACAATTCTATCCTGGAGTCCTTCTGGCTGAAGAAGGAGAGTCTCGTCTTCATGGTGGGTCTTGAACTGACTTCTGTCTTTGACTGCTAACTTAAGCATTCTGGAAGGGAGATCTGAATAAATCTCATTGACTTCTTTGGTGTTCTTTCCTGAATCCTTTAGGAAAGCCTCAACCATCAGCAAAGTTGCCAAAGCATCACCCACTGCCTCATTTGTTAAGAGAAGGAACTTCAAAAATTTGTTAACATGAGCATCATCTAGACTGAAGTCATTATCCTGTAAGATCTTGACAATCTTTTGGTACTTTGAGATCACTGTTCCATGCCCATTAGCTTCAAAATATACTCCAATGTCATATTGTTCTGCCCTGTGGTGAAGATATTTTACTCCAGTTGGGACTCTTTCGACTTTCACACCTTTATCTGTTAGATATTTAGTTGCTGCACTGTTAGCATATCCAGTCTGAACAACAACAAAAGTGATCAGCTCAGATAAGCTAGTCTTATCATTGGTTATGTTGTTCATCAGACTCTTGATATAATCACCAAGAAGGATTGCAATTTTATCTCCATCAATCACATTGAGATCCTGGGTTGAAGGATTTCCATAGTAATAAACAATCCTATCTGCATCTCCATCGAAGCTGACCCATTTAGTATTGTCGTCTGTCTTGATTTCTTCAGCTCCAAGAGGGAAAGATTTATCTTTATGAATGCATTCAGCTCCACATTTGTGGTTAAGGAATTCAGTGCCAGTACTTCCATCATTCAATACAGTTACATCTAGTCCATAGTGAGAAGAATTGGTGAAGATATCCAATTTTTTAAGCTGTTTGCCTCCGATTCCATTGGCTGTATCCACAACCAGCTGCGATTGGTAATGGCTTTCTTCGTCTCTCGATATTAGTGCCCAGTACTCTTGAAGATTCTTCTTGTAGTAATCATAATAGATTTCTTCATTCATACCATCAATATCTTCTGGAGAGTAATTCTCTTTATCTGCAAACCAAACAAGGAAGTGCAACTGTGGAGTGGAGAGCTCCCCAAAATCCTTTACTTTTACACCAACAGCTTCAATTCCTGCTTTCAAAGCAGCAATTAGTCTTGGGCTAGAGTCTCTGGTGTCACAAGCAACTCAAACTCTTGCTTTATCTGAGTAAGCAATTCCTTTTTCGGCAATCAAATCAGATATATATTGAACTAAATCCGAAGAGTTCACACCATTAGTGAACGGATCTTCCCAAGATTGAGTGACCATAGCTCCATTCTTATCGATAATCTTAACTCCATTATCTTTGAGAGGGTTGTGAGAAGCAGTAATCATGACTCCAGCAGCTCCTGTCTCTGATGCTCTAATAGCAGCAACGATTCCAACTCTATAACAAACCCTATCCAGAGCATCAGCATCAGTTCTGAATCCAGCAGTTCCATAGGAGAAGACTGTGTCCTTATATTTGTCAGTTGGCGCATGAGTTGTATCGCCTTGGTTAATTACCTCAGCATCTAAAGTGCAAGTTAAAATCTATAAAATATCTAATCATACTCAAATTCCAAGATTCCATTTCAACTAGATTTTTCAATTAATTTTAATAGATTTGGGGTTTTGGGGTTTTGGGGTTTTGGGGTTTTGGGGTTTTGGGGTTTT